AAGAGCTTGATCAACAGTTATGCATGCTCCACATTACCTCTCAGATACAACTTCATCAGGTGGTCGTTCACCTTAAACTTGGCTGACTGTGAATGAGCCGGACCACCACTAGCGTAGCTTGCCCGGGAAGAGTTTCAGGCGTGCGTTATAGAGCAGAACACAATCACCAACTTGAAAATCTTTGGGGCCTTTCAACCGAGTGTCGTGAAAACGCTTGGTGCGCTCCTTGTAGAGCCTGGTATTCTCGTAAGTTTGATAACGCCATTCTTCCAACTTACTTCAGTACCTGCAACACTCAACTCCAAGTTTAGCAGGTTAAGGGCCCAAAATGCCTTACGCTCTAGCTCAACAGGCAAGTGGCAAGCCTTTCCATAGACAAGCCGATATGGTGAAGTATCAATCGGCGTCATGTAGGCTGTTCTATATGCCCATAGAGCATCATCGAGCTTGGTGGACCAATCCTTGCGGGACTGATCCACGTCTTTTAGATTATGCGCTTTAGCTCCCAGTTCGTCAGCTCGGCTTCACCATTCTTCTGGGGATGTTAAAGTACTGACACCTTATGCTTAACATCATAGCGAGAGCGGAGTTTAGCAAATTTCCCTTTAAAATGTGTTCCTCTATCACTAATGATGGCTCGAGGTGTCACGAACCTGGAAAAAAGTTGTTTCAGAAATGAACATACATGTCTTGCATCATTGGTGGGCATGGCCTCAGCTTCTGCACACCTCAAGACATAGTCCACTGCAACCAAGATGTACATATTACCAAAAGATGGAGGGAATGGTCCCATGAAATCGATGCCACAAACATCAAAAATTCACAAACAACAAAAATATGTTGTGGCATCTCATCTCGGGAAGAAATGTTAGCTGACCTCTGGCAGCGGTCGCACTATCGTGTGAAGGTATCAACATCCTTGAAGAGCGAGGGTGTAACACCCCACCTTAAAACTCATGGGTCAAACCACTGGTTCGTTCGCACAACAGAAAATACTAACGGGGTTTACGTATTAACTCATCATTCAATACATATGCATCTTTCGTTTACTAAACATAACTCGAGGTGAACATATATAAATCTATTTAAATCCAACACATTTATTAATATCCAATCTCTTTTATTAAACATACAACATCCAATTCATGACATCATCCAAACACTTGTTCGTTGAAACTCAAAATCTTCATCTTACATACTTTGGTACCATTCATAAATCATAATAACTCAATCGATCAAGTTCAATGCAATCAAACCCAACATAATGCATGTTTATGATATTTGTTTTAAAATACAAAACATTGGTAAAAACTCTCCTCCGACCAATCGTCTGCTACCTCATGATGGAGTAGAAGTTTCACAGCTCCGACGTCCAAGCTCAGTTCCTCTGCTGCGGATCTGAACACAAAAGGGGAGGGGGTCAGCTAACTAATTTAGTTGAGGTGTGGCGCTGTTTCATCCTACACGACGAAGTCTATGGATACGCTTTCCACATCAATCGATTCACCACCTAATCATGGCATCTAGGTTGAAGTCTCAACCTGATATAATTCTCAACCCTGCATCCAATATCCAAAAAATATGCAAGTGCAATGCATTTCCATTTTATTAATTTGGGCGCCAAGGTCACCATACATCCACCCCCGCTCGAGCCTCATAATTTCAGTGGTTATATCAGAAAACACAATCATATCTCTCTGGCCACTGGCCTCATCGATCCTAATGATCGTCAGTAACAATATCAAATGTTGGGGGTAAATGCAGGCCTTTCTAAGTCTATTTGATTAATATGAACATCATATAAAATCATCATTCTCATCATACCTCAATTTAATAATCATCCATCTCAATCGATCTTGGTGTAATTACCAAGTCTATGCTAAACGCCAATTTGTACATCTCATGCGTACAATAAAATTTTCATATCATCCATCAAATTATCAAGTAGAAATTCATTCGCAAACATTATCGTGATCGTACATTCAACGTATAAGATGGGGGGTTCAAATCTGCGTACATGGTTCGTTAACCATTTAATCGGTGATAATCAACGAGTAATTCGAATGGCGGACCAGCCATGGTAAAAAATTCGGGAAGAGGAATGAGTGACACTACTCGTAGTATTCTTCTTAAAACCGTATTCCCAAAAGAGTTTACCGAGTGAATTCCCAGGTAAGTGGACGAGTACCACGAAGGTTTCGATTAAAAACCACTACCCTAGACAGAATTCTCCCATGGTAGCTGTCCATTATTCAAACTATTACGAATTCGTTCATGGTTTAATGATTATCCCAAGGTGTCTTATTAGGAGAATTATTATATCGTAGGCGGAATTTCACATAACTCATGGTCTGATATCATGTCATGAATTATTGAAATAGTAACAACGTAGTCTCAAGGAATTTCAATACTCGTAGGGATCAATTACAAAGTCGTAAATTCCAAATACTCGATTATGAATCATCCAATTCTACTCGAGTATCAAAATCATAATAACGACATTATTCATTTTATCTTCGTTAAATCCTCAGCTATGTTTCAATGTTAAACACATAGCACGTAATAAAACACCGCCTATTCACCACAAGGTCCACACACCATATTTATGACGTAAATGAACTCTTTCCAGATGCTGTAAAAATTCCAATACTCCTGGATAAAATTCTCCTCGTCTGTACGATTTTGTAGGCGAAGACGGTTCATCGTTTGGACGTCAAATGAACAAATTATGGCCAAAATACGAATTCTGTCAGTTCTCGAAGTAACAAGTACTGAATATATAATTATCTAGTCAACCAGCGAGTTGACCCTTCCTATGAAAAATTTCATTCCAGGTCCTCAAACATTTCGAATTGACAGAAACAGTACCTGACTTTCAGAAACTGACAGTTCTAGTAGCCAACTTGCGAGGCTTGTTTCTCCCTCGTCCGACGTTGAAAATTGATTCCGTCGAAATGTGCGTGCTCTTGGGATTGCCTTCTTCGCAACGGTACCAACCACTTGAAGAATGGTTGAGGTCGGAGTTGACGTCGTCGCTATCACGGGATTCCGACGAAACCCCGACTAGGCTCCGATAAGGCTTCAACGACGCTGCTAACTTCGGGGGAGACCTCTCCTGACTTCTATGGCGACCTCCCAAAACTCCAGACACTCAAAGCCTCCCACTGCTCTCTCTATGTATTTTTCTTTGTACGGTTTGTAGTGAGCTACTTTTCCTTCTATATATAGCATTCCAGGAGACCATTTTATGGTTGGATATTAACTTTCACATAGCTCATGGAATGGTGGTCAGTGTTGTTGTTCCTTTATAAATATCAAACTAAAAGAAGAGAGAACGTGGCTATCTCTCCTCCTTGCATCCGTACACATAAAAATAATACATGCTGGTTGTGAGTTATTGTACTGGGATGGATTCAATCATTTTGGACAGAAGCTACGTCACTTAGGGAGAGCTTCATTTGTTTCTTCAAAAATTGATATCGCCAGGTAATCATTAAATAAACTAATATTGGCTTACTATATATAAGGAACTTTCAGTCCAACTGGTTGAGTAGTGATGATTGTGTACCTTTAGGTTGCTGGTTCGAATCTTGGTGGTGAATATATATTTTTTTATCACATCAGAATCTGTCATCGTCTGAGCTCACTAGTTCATATTTTCGTCCCTATCATAATTTCTTCATGCCATATTTATTCTCTAGATTTTGTCATCTCATTAATTGAAGATTGGGATTTCTTTGTTCCCTCGTTGAACCGAAATGGTATACGATTTAACCCAGATACGGGATGTTACAGAGGGCAAGTAGAAGCCCGACTCCAACACCTACCGCGCAATGCGGTTCTTGCCATGATGACTGCCCGCAGGTCCCGCGTGGCTTTGAGATAGGATGTCTCCCATCTCGTGCTCCATGACGCACCTACGTATCACGCCATCTGCTCCGATCATGAAGAGATCGGGATCCACTCAGAAGTTATGCCTCAAGTCGGAGAAGAACTTGCGCTTGGCATGAGTAGCCATCTCCTTAGGAAATTGTTTTCCCGCTAGATAATTAGAGAAGTCAAAATACCAAGGGGTGACGCTCTCAACCAAGCATAGCGCCAACAATCACTCACCCGAGAAGGATTCATTGATCTCTTCCACGAAGTTGTCCATCGGAGGGGCTTCCAACCATGAAAGATTATATGCAACAACATTTTTGGCTCCCTTCTTGTCCCGAATCTCGTTGTCGAATTTTTGCAGAAGCATGATCTAGCGGATTTTGCTAGCTCACCTGTTGTGTGGCTATCAGTTGATGAAGCAAACTCAAATCTCCGATTTCCCTTTAGGGGAGTATGTTGTTCTAGGAGCCTAGGCTTAACATCTGCCTTGCTCATTAGTTAGAAGATAGCAGAGTGATCTGTGTAGACCACCACATGAGAGCGCAATAAGTAGGGTCAAAACTTGTCAAAGGCATACACCAGGGCGAGCAGCTCCTTCTCGGTGGTGGTGTAGTTCTCATGTGCATCGTTCAAGGTCTTCGATGCGTAGTAGATGGAATGGAAATGTTTGTCGTGTTCTGGCCTAGAATAGCTCCAACTGCATAAACACTTGCATCACACATCAGCTCGAACGGAAGAGACCAATCAGGAGTCACCATGATGGGCGCATGGGTAAGCTTCTCCTTCAAGGTCTCGAACGCAGCTGTGCATTCTGGAGTGAAATGAAAGGGTGCATCCTTCTCTAGCAGTTGGTAACATAATGACTTGCGTTAAATTTGAACAAATGGGTAAAACCCCCAATTACATATACTCCAACTTAAACCCTCATTACTTCTCTTGCTTTTTTAATTAATCAAGTTGCTAATTAACACACGTACCTTAATTAGCTCTTTTTTTCCAAACAACAAAAGCATAGCCAGAAATCAACAAAAGGATCTAGTTTCCCAACAATGCCAAGATAATGATAATGGTAATATATGAACATCTTCCAGAAATCAACAAACGGGCGACCAAGTAACGAATCATCTGTCGGTGCCGTCTCCGTCCGAGCCACTCCCAACTCCAACTCCCTTCCCAGCTCCGGCACCACTGCCAATGCCGACTCCAACACCAACACCAATCTCAATGCCAAATCCACCACCGGCTCCTCTGCCACGTCTGCCACTGAGACCACCACCTGCACCTCTACCGCCTCAACCGCCTAACCCTCCTCCGGCTCTAGCTCCTCCTCAAACACCTCCACCTCCACCGACACCAAACCCTCCACCTTGCCCGGAACCACCACCAAGGCCGCCACCACCGCCTCCTCCAGCACCTCCTCCACCTCCAACAACACCACCACCTGCAGCTCCACCGCCTACACCACCGTCGGCGCCAAACCTTCCTCCGTGGCCAGATCCTCCTCCCAAACCTCCAACATCTACTCCGCCGCCACCACCGCCCCCTCCTTCGCCTGCGACACCACCTCCCACGCCACCCCCAACGCCACCACCGGCTCCAAAACCTCCTCCATGTCCCGAACTACCACCAAGACCGCCGCCGCCACCTCCTCCTCCACCGCCGCCTCCTCTAACACCAGCACCAACTCCAACTCCAGCTGCTCCACCACCTCCTGCACAAAATCCTCCGTTGTGTCCGGATCCTCCACCACCACCTCCACCATCGAAACCACCGCCTCCGCCAACACCACCTCCAGCAGCCCCCCCCTGCTCCACCACCCACTCCTCCTCCAGCCCCGAAACTTCCACCTTGACCAGATCCACCCCCAACTCCATCGCCTCCTACGTCGCCAAGTCCTCCACCGCCACCCAAACCACCTCCGGAACCACCACCCAAACCTCCTCCCGTACCACCACCAAAACCTCCCCCGGCACCGCCACCTAGGCCCCCACCGCTGCCTCTACCGCCACCAAGCCCACCTCCGCCTACAATGCCACCACCTCGGCCGCCTCTTCCCGGTCGTCCCCAGGGTCCACGGTCGTAACGTCCACCACAGCCGCGGTGACTAATGCGACAGTAGTCATCGTAGTCTCGGTACCTTGTCACGTCGTCATGATCAGCAAGCAATAGGGCACTGATGTGAAGAGCAATACAGGCTAAAACCCGAAGCAAAGAAGCCCAATTTGAAGACATTTCTCCCTTTTTTTAGTGGTAGTTTTTTTTTTCTGCGGTTGACTGATGCTTCGATGGAGGGGAGGCTACTACGGTGGGCTTTTATTTATGGTTTTCGTTGGGGCTTAGTTATCATAAATCGTAGTTAGTAAAGGGAGTACCAGAGATTTTTCATTTAGTAGGTCCACGTTAAGATTAATATGACGCGTCAGGGATACAGTTGAGGGAGTGGTGGACGGCACACCCATTTAAGACAAATGAAAGTCAAACTGCATGGTTTTTGACTCTTTCAAAATGTTTAATATCATCAACGTCCAACTTTTGCATGCAACTTGGGAGCTTCGAGATATGGGCTTGCTTAGCTTGCTCCTACCTACTTCAGAAGAGTTGTAAAATTTTATACATCTAGTCACTTAATCATCGAGCGGCTCAATTACGGTGGTAATGAGTCAGTTACATACCTCTAATTGCCCAGCACAATCCCCTCACGAACCATAAAATGGCACTTCTCCAGCTGAGTGCCAAATTAGTCTCCTCGCACCTCTTCAGGGCAAGTTCTAGGTTAAGGAGACAGTGAGAGAAGGAGTCTCCAAAACCGACAAGTCATCCATGAAGACTTCCATGATCTCTCCAACCAGTCGGTTGAAGATTGCCACCATACACCGCTATAAGGTCGTCGGTGCTTTGTAGAGCCCAAATGGAATCCTCCGGCATGCAAAAGTACCAAAGGAGCATGTGAAAGTGGTCTTCGCCTAATCCTCTAGTGCGATTGGATTGTGGAAGTACCCGTACATGCCATTCAGGAAGCAGTAGAACTCATGTCCCGGCAACCTCTCCAACATCTGGTCAATCAAAGTAAGCGGGAAATGGTCCTTCCTGGTGGCGTCGTTCAGTCACCGGTAGTCGAAGTAGACACGCCAGCAGGTCACAGTTCGCATCGGGATCAGCTCGTTCTTCTCATTTGGGGCTGACCCCACTTGCTATCAGATATATCAAAGATGATCCCGACATCCATAAAATTCACGATCTCTGCCCGGACCACTGCCTCCAAGTTAGGAGTCAATCTCCTCTGCGACTACCTTACAGACTTAACCTAATCCTCCATCAGAGTTCTATGGGAGCATTAGGATGGACTAATGCCTCTAATATCAGTAATCATCCACACCATGGCCCGAACATACTTATTCAGTAGAGCCACCAGACTGCTCTTTTGCTCGGGTGTTAGTTCTGAGCTAATAATCATCGGGAGCTAATTCCCCTCCCGAGAAATGCATACTCCAGTTGACAGGGGAGGGGCTTAAGCTCTAGCTCTGGTGGAGATCGGGGGCGAGATAGAGATCGTCTTGAACGGATGCTCTGGCCTCTCGATCGCAGCGCCCTCTAGCTCTGCCATGTTCTCCTCCAACTGTAGCTATTGTGATTCCCCTAACAAAAGACAACACTTAAGGAAATTATTAGTACCCGCACTTGTGATGGCGACTGCGGTCTCAAAATCGGCAATCACATCGCAGTAATCTAAATCATCATGGAGCTGGGGGTGTTTCATATTATCATATATAGAGAAGGTGATTTGTTCACCCCCAGCCCTCAAAACCAGTTTACTTTCATTCACATCAATAAGCGCCTTGGAGGTGGCTAGAAAAGGTATACCCATAATTAAAGACACATCCACATCCTCATTAATATCAAGAATCACAAAATCAACAGGATATGAGAATGACCCTACTGCGACTATCAAGTCCTCTGCAATACCCCTAGGATGTACAATATATCGATCAGCCAATTGAATGCTCATCCTAGTATTAATGGGTTCACTTAAGCCTAGCTTCTTAAACAATTTATACGACATGACGTTTATGATAGCGCCTAAATCCGCTAAGGACTTTCTTACATGCAAGCTACCTATCGTGCAAGGGATAGTAAAACTCCCTGGGTCTTTATGCTTCTCCGGTAGCTTATTCTGCCACACTGCAGAACACTCCTCGTTGAGCATCACCGTCTTGTTGGTGAGGTCTTTCATGCACTTTGCGTACTTGGGCATCTTAGATAGTGCCTCCACAAAATTCATGCTTATGTTAACCTACTTCACCATTGCCATTAACTTGGCAAACTCAATCTTCAGTCGGTCTTTGTGCAATCGAGTAGGGAAGGGATGTTGAGGGGCATACTACTTCACCACTAGTTGTGGCTTAGAAACAGTCACCTCAATCTCCTTTTTCCCTCTCTTCCTCATCCGTTGGAAGTGCCGAAGCAAGTCTCTCATCTTCCTGCCTGGTCTTGGGGGGAATATCTGCAGTCACCTTCCCACTCCTGGTGGTAATGGCACTATAGTGGGCATCCGAGTCTCTAGGATTAGGGATGGTGTGACCAGGTAATGTATCCGGAGCCCTCTGCGCCACAAATTTATGGACATTTCCAAGCTGGAGCTAGATGTCCTGCCGAACAACTTGTGCATTCCGCTGACCAGCTTCAAGTGACTTCTGACCAACTTCAAGATCCAAGAACTGTCCTAAGGCCTTTTCAATGAACCGCTCCATGTTGCTGAATTTTGGGCACTAGAGTTGGCAAGGGAACCAACGATGTCGCGCAGCTCTGCCATTGGATCACGCGATACTGGGGGCGGCTGGGGCTGCGCCTGCTACTGAAACTGTCGCGCCTACTACTAAGGAACAGTCTGCTCCAGTCTGGATGGATAAAGAGGCTGCTACGGCTTCTAGTAATGCCTCGGACGGGGCTGATAGGGCTATCTCTAGAAGCCTGGTGGTCCCTAGGAGACTGGTGGACTAGGATTACTGCTACCACTCCAAGAGACGTTAGAATGTTGGCGCCAACCTTCGTTATAGGTGTTGCTGTAAGGATTGAAGTGTCTAGCATTGCCGATGAAGTGCAGCTCTTGGGGTGTAGTAGATTCCCTCATTGCAAGACAGTCTTCCATTGTGTGGTGGCTGCTGACTAGTCCTGAATACCACAATAAAAATCCCAATCAAGGTGCAAGTATAAACCTTAATTGGGTGCAATATAGTGCAAGTATGTTTTAAAAGTCAAACCCGGGCCGACCATGTACCCCTACTTCGATTGTTTAAACATTATCTAGCAATTGGTTTTTGGTTAGAACTACTATTCAAAACTATAAAGGTGAGTTAAACCGAATGAAAGTGCATGGTAAAGGTGGTTGCTAATCGTAGGGAAGCGCAACAAGTGAGTCGGGTTCACTCTCTTGATCAATTGGCTAAGGGGCTACATGCCAAGCTACCTAAGTGACTCTCTTAGCCAATCGACCAAGTGACACAAGTCAAGCGACCTAGGTGACTCTCTTAGCCAATCGTCTAAAGGTTGCCAAGCTTCACCCTTGAACCGAAGTTCGGACGAATAAATCGCAACCAACACAGGTGCTTAAATGTAGTAAGAGGTGTGCCCTAATTTTTCCTAGGTAGGTGACTTAATTAGGCCAAGGAAACCTAGCTTTTGAAAGCCTCTTAACAAGAAGGGAGTTTCCCTATACCTAGGTCAAATTGGCAAAGTAGTTGGAAATGGAAAACACAACACAACATCCATGAAAATACCTTAATACTTGCATTCAAACACAGCCATACACAAATCATTCAATTCATACAAACTTTCACATGTTTTTCTCTAGGGTTCACAAACACCCAAATGAAATAAAGGACTACTCCATGCTAGGTAGAAGGAATACACAAAGGACAGAAGAGAAAACCATATTGGAGATGAATGCTTTCTTCCTTTTGTGTGGAAATCAACCTTGAAGGTGAAAATTCCCAAAACCTTGAGCTTGGATGAAAACCTAGCCTCTTTCATCTTCCTTGCTCGTCACTTTCTCTCTCTAGAAGTCTTGAAGAAGAAGAAGTTATCTCACTACGCTCTCCCATTTTCTTCCTTCAGCTCAACTCTCTTTATATACCCAGATCAAAGGAATTTCACGGCCGTGAACATTGGCTGGGGATCGTGATCTTTAGCAAAGTGCACCATTTTACTTATGCACTTCACGGTCTAAGGCGAGTGTTCACGGTCCAACGACTGTGAACTAGTCGAGGTCAAGTGAGGTGCACAACCCTTATGGAACCATTGCGCTTCACGGTCGGGGTGCAATCATCACGTTCTTCGCGACCGTGAAATCATGGCTTCCACCGTGATCTGCAATTGTCCTCTCCTTTTGGCCCGTTTTCACTCCTTTTCATACAACTATTATTCCCGGGGTTGATTTACCTGATAGGTTCTGAAACATAGCAAAACAAAGCCCAACCTAGCGTAAAACCAAACCCCATTGTGTGAAATCGCCTCAAACATCTACGGTAAATGGGGGTAAAATGTGTGCATATGGACCCGAATCAGCTGCTCTCGCACCACTGGCAGTACATCGCCTGTTGCTGCCTTGTACCGAGAGCCATCTCATTTCTATCAAGTGTCGTGACCAGCTTACTGACCACACTCACCAGATTGGACGACGGGTTATCCATGGCATGCACATCCAGGCATGGTGCTCGTCGCGATCTTTGTGCATACCCCCAATCATAACCCTTCTCAACCATGTCTTCAAAGAGCTGGTTCAACTGCGGTGACATTTTAGTCAACATGTTCCCGCCACAAACCGAGTTGATGAGCTACTTATCCTCAGGAAAGAGAGACCGATAGAAGGTACCCAGTTTGAAGGCATCATTGAAACCATGGTTGGGACACTTTAGGAAGAGACCTGTGTATCTCTCCCAATTGTCCTAGAAAGCCTCTTCCTCCTGTTGGGAAAAGTAGGTAATCTCCTTCTGTAGGTCTGTTGTTTTAGAAGGAGGATGATAGCGGGTCAAGAATTTGTTAGCCAGGTCGGTGAATGTGGTGATTATCTCGGAGGCCGGTTGTCCAACCATAGCTTAGCCTGCCCCTCCAGAGTAAATGGGAAGTAGCATAGCTGGATGGCGTCTTGAGGGACCCCATTGATCTTGATCCAATCAATCAGCCAGTAGAATCGGCGCAGGTGTGCGCGGGGGTATTCGCCTGTCTTCCCATGGAAA